CAGGCTCTGCTGTTTGGGGATTGCTCCGCCACAGAGTCGCCTATAAGGAATGTGAACACGGCAGCACGGGGTACTACAGGTGTAGTTGACAACTCAGAACCGGTACGGAACACCCGATTCAACTCGCATCCCCAACCAGTGGGGACACCTAGCCCAATACTGTCTGGAAACTTGTCAGGAAATGATGAAATGGACACAAACGTCTATCTGGACTTGACTGTAATATCCGAGTTAGAAAGGACCCGACTATATCAGGAAAGCCCACAGGAGCGACTCCAACAACACCAGTTCTGGAAAGAGTATAGGAAGTTTGTTTTAATGGTAACATTGGAAATACTGTAAATATATTACCAGGCAAAGTTATACCAGGAAATCAAATTCGATGTCTGTATTCTAATGTAAATGTTATGACCAACACAAAAAAATCCGAACTAGTGGAACATATTAACAACAGACTTGGACAGGGTATGTCTAACAGAAATGTTTCCAAAAAGTAACTGTCTACAGTTGGACACTCCATTTTATGATGTGGATAACTTCAACTCGTACTACAGCGAACCAAAAAAGCTTGGTATTGGAATAAACGTCTCGGGAAACCTAATCAGTGAAAAAGTAGTTCTCAATGTGGACTTTGATGAATATGTAGCATGTTCAATAAACCTCAAAAACAGAGACTCGTTACTTGTGTGCTGCATATACAAAAAGCCTTAACAGCCCAGAACAAAATAATGAACGCCTATCTGACCTCCTTAGGAAATTGTATTCTCTTCATTATTCCCATTTACTAATTCTGGGAGACTTTAATTTTAAGGAATTAAACTGGGAAGTTGGATCAACAACCACAAGGGAAAACCACCCGCCACAAAATTTCTTGGAACAACGAGGGACGGTTTCATCTATCAACACGTCAAACAACCAACTAGATACTGCGAAGGACAAACCCCAAATATCTTGGACCTTATCTTCACGAACGAGGAGGAAATGATCGATGACATTATATATTTACCATCTTTAGGAAAAAGTGACCATCTTACCCTACGTTTCGATATGTGAACCGATAACACCACCACACCATACCAGGAGGGAGTAGATCTAAAACGGTACAACTCCCACAAAGGCATTTACATCGAGATGATGCATGACCTAAACAACTTTGTTGTCTTCTTGAAACAAGAAATAAAGAAATGTATACCAGTGAGGAAGATATCTCAACCAAAAAACCAGAACAGAACTTATCTCGGCATCGATGCTATACAAGCGATCAAAAGAAAGAAGCGCCTGTGGAACAAATACCTACATTGCAAAACGGATCAAAATTTTCATAACTACAAAGTTGCTAGAAAATTATGTTGTATCAAGGACAAGGAACTCCAGATATCAGTTTGAGAAAGACCTAGCTGAAAAAATCAAAACGAATCCGAAACTATTTTGGAAATACGTACGGTCTAAAACCAAATCGGCTACTGTCAACAAAAGACTGGTAAACCAGGAAGGCCAATTAACAGAAACAGACGAGGAAACCGTAGAAGTCTTCAACAATTTCTTTGCCAGCGTGTTTGTCCATGACTCAAACACACCAATACCTTATCTATCGCCAAAAGTTCTACCAGAACACTTAACCGATATCACTATTTCCGAGCCTGTAAATCCAAACTAAACACAGGGACCTGACAACATCCATCCACAACTTATAGCTAGTACAGCAAACTCCATCAAAAAGCCTCTGACGATACTGTACAACAAATCATTTAATGAAGGAAAGTTACCTTAACAATGGAAATCAGCGATCGTAAGACCAATATTTAAAAAAGGATAAAAAAACGAACCCGGGAACTATAGACCAATCAGCCTTACTTCAGCACCGTGCAAAATTCTCCAACGGATTATAAGGAACGAATTATAGGACCATATGAATAGGAACCACCTCTTCTCAAAACACCAGCATGGCTTTAGACCTGGACGATCATGTACTACACAACTCTTAGAAGTCCTTGAAGACTGGACACAAACCCTAGACCAAGGTAAACATATCGACGTGATATATTTGGACTTTGCTAAGGCCTTTGACAAGGTCTCACATCGTCTACTGCTATACAAACTCCAGTACTATGGAATACAAGGAAAAGGACTAGCATGGATACAGGATGACAGTGACATGAAACAAGAAGTGGTTATAAATGGAAAATTCAGTCAGCAGCGGGGTACCTCAGGGAAGCGTTTTAGGACCAATTCTATTTTTGATATATGTCAATGACATGCCTGAAGTCATCAATTATACCATCAAACTTTTTGCAGACGACACTAAATTATATTAAAAAAATCTCCAACAGCGAAACCGTAAATTTCTTCAGGACAACATAGACAGCATATCCAAGTGGACAGACGACTGGTTAATGAAATATAATCTAAATTATCCAGATAGTACAACAGACATAGAGAAAGTAGAAAACGAGAAGGATCTTGGCGTCACCATAGATAACAAATTGAGATTTCCAGACCATGCCAATATAACAGTTAGAAAGGCTAACAGAATCCTGGGTACTATCTTCCGTACTTTCACATATAGGGACGCAGTTATGTTTACACTATTGTACAAATCACTCGTCAGACCACATTTAGAGTATGGAACACCTATATGGTCCCCAAACTTTATCAAAGACAAAATCTCCATCGAAAATGTGCAAAGAAGGGCTACAAAACGGATCAAGAATATATCAAATCTACCATATGATGAAAGGCTGCGAACGCGGGGACTGCCTACTCTCGAATATAGAAGGGAAAGAGCAGACCTAGTCGAAATCTACAAGATCCTAAATAATATCGACCATGTAGACCATGAACATATGTTTAAACAGGCATCAAATATGGGGACCAGGGGGCATCCAAAAAAGCTGTTCAAGAGACCGTTTCGCCTTGAAGTAAACAAAAATGTCTTCAGCAACAGAAAAATAACAACATGGAACAGTCTACCGGAAGTGATTGCTACAGCAATGAACCTAAACAGCTTTAAAACATTACAGAACAACCATAACATTACCAACAGGTCCAAATTCCGGGCCTCTTTTTACAATTAGTACCATGTACATCACATGTGTTTTTAAATATGCGACTTTTACAGGTCATATGAGCCCAATCAACAAGTGCGAACTTTAAACGGTAGGTGTGTAAATATACGTGCGTTTCATATATAGAGAGAACTGTTTTTGTCAAGTATAATGTGTGACCAACATGAACTATAAACCGCCACAACTCATCAATGTGTAAATAATGGACTTTTATCATTTTATGCGCAACCGGTTGGACATTATAAATAATTAATGAAATACTATCAAGACATCTCCAAAAGCTAAAAAGCTTACAACGATGTAGATTACAGCAAAAGATACAGCGAAAGATACAGCGAAAGAACGGGGCAGTGTTTTCCTGTTACGGAATACACCTGTTTGTCAGCGGATCGTGCCTCAACATTATTGAGACCGCCCTGCTTGTTTTTTTTGAGTTGTTTCGTGGTTTATTACGTTGTTTCGTGGTTTATTACGTTGTTTTGTGGTTTATTACCACGTATTCTCTGTCATGTTCATCTCTCAGATAATTGAACGAACGCGGTGTCAGTTGTATGTGAAACTCGTGGCCTCTACTCACAAAATGCATCGCCAGATTCAATCAAGCGCGATAACGGAGGAGGACGGGATTTTCCCCAGTAAGGTAGGTGTTTTCTAGGTCCTCTTGACAGATTCTTTGTTTGTGCTGAGTGGGTCTTGAGGTACCGTTCCTTCCATTTGCCTTTAATTTCCCATCCAACATATTGTTGGCACTGTGAAACGCCCTATCTCTGACAATATCAATATCCAATCTGCCGCGCGGACATTAACAAGAGTGTTTTTATGGTACACAAGTCCATTCTTTGGCGATGCCTCGGCATAAACTTGTCGTAGTTTGCCACACAAAGTATCCACCCTATTGAATTCATGTCCAATTCATGACCATGCATCTCACGGTTCCAATCGGAAAATAAAATAGCCCAACTACAGTAAACCATATTCTAGGCCTAGAAGACACATTTTGCAAAAGTAAAGAAATAATACCGTTTCCAAATAATATCTTTTTTTTAAATTCGATGAAAATTTGAAAACAAACACCAACATCAGTCCTAATTTAAAAAAACACCAAAAACGATGAATTAAACGCAATTCTTCAATTCCAAAATCCAATTCAATTTTGATTTATTTCCCAGTTAAGTTTACAGTCACGTTCATTGATTATGCAAATGATATCCTTGTAGCTTAACGGAAAGCATTCCAATTTAATTTGGGAAGACCTGGGTTCGAGTCCTGGTCAGGGCAGACCATGTATTGGAATCATATTGAACGTGCACTGTATGCGTCAAATGTATTAATGTAATTGTTTTTCTTTGCAAACTTTGACAAACAATGTCAGATCCCCGACACTCCCTCCGAGTTTGAGTCCTAGTCAGGGTAGATCATGTATTTGAATCATATTGAACGTGCGAGTGCCGACCCCCCTCCCCTCGATCACCACTCAAACAAATATGCTGGTATTTAAAGTGTCTTACCTTGAAAAACCTTAATGCCCCATTTGGTGTTGTTTTTAGTGGATTTTGACTGTCGTGCATCCTCCATTTCTGCCAGTTCCTCGTCCGAAAGTCTTTTGAAGCGTTGGAGGCCCGGGGCTGCAGGTAAGTCAGGTTGTGGTACTTTGATATCCATGGCTTTTGCCATCTCGCCCTTGCCTGAGACGGCGATGACGGCGTTGACATAGGCAGATCAATTTCAAATAATTCCAACAAAACATTGTTGAGGTCTTCATCTTCCATCGTTTGTCGTTCAGCTGCATTAATTCAATCGATATTCAGTATTTCGTCGGTTTCTCCTAAATCAAAGTTTGGTACGTCTGCCATTGTTGATAACTCGTTGGTTAGAAAGCAGACGATATCAAAATATTGATAAACAACAAAAATTATTTTTTAATAATAATGGCAGGTATTTTTTTCCCAATTTTAATGTTTTACTTACATAATATGTTATTATTCAATACATATTGTAACATATAAACTTCGGAAAATCCAATGGAATCTACCGAAAATCAAAGGCTTCTTGGATAATTTTCTTTTGAAGTTGCCGACATAGTGAAAGTTATTCCGGTGGGCGTGGCTAATTATTTTTCTTTCATAAATTTTCCAACCAATCAGATAAGAGTATTTGGTATGAAAACAAAGAAAAATTGATTATAACATATTGAACACACATCTATTTTTGCTACGTCATATTAGTGTTAACATTTGAATAAAACTGTTATTTGTGACCCGAGGGTATTGTGTCTACCACTACTCCTTACTGTTTGAAAATTGCAATGATGAATCACGTGATAGAAGTCAATATCATTTTACTTTAATATCACTCATTTCAAGCCGTATTATTTATTCGATAGTTTTTGGAGATAAACAATACACCATTAACGCTATTCCACTTAACGGTCAGTCTCTTTTGTTCACTGACCACATACATTTTCATTTATTGAAGTGTCCAAGGGAACTACCAATTTTTACAGCGTGGCATATATATCTTATATTTACAATACTTGGTGATTAGTGAAAAAAGGTTTTTCTGCTGCTTTGTAATTGCTATAAATATTTCAATTGGAGGATTTACATTCAGTTGTATTCAGCGATATACATTGTATTACATCGTTGAACAGGCAATATACAAGTATATTAAAGATACATGGTGATATGATATCCCTACAAGATAAATGTTATCTCCCTTCAAGATAATATAATGTCCCTACACGATAAATGTTATCTCCCTACACGATTATATAATGTCCCTACACGATAAATGATATCTCCCTGCAACGTAATATAATGTCCCTACACGATAAATGATATCTCCCTGCAACGTAATATAATGTTCCTACAAGATAATATGTTGTCTCTACAAGGTTATATGACGTCCTTACAGGTCATGTCCCTATGACGTAAGTCGATACTCATGGTCCTTCTCTTTGAGGCTGATATATGGCCTCATCAGGTGTATTGTCAACATCTACATAGTTAACACCAGCCAGCTCCACTGCCATTGGACTCCAGCTGAATGTGTTTGTTTTCTGTACTCTGGAGCTTTGTAAGTTGAATGGTGGTCCAGTGGAACTACCATAGTTAGTTAGACTTGCTCTTGTCGCAAATGACCGGGACTGGTGTTTAAAATCAGAAGACTTGTGAGCATTCTTCACCTTGTGTGCAATGTATTTTCTGCAAACAGATAATCTCTAGTTTCATTTCGATTTCAACAATGTCAAATATACTATGAGATAGTATTTGCATTCAATTATAAGGGTGTAAATATATCGCCAATGACCAGTCGTCCAAACAGAGTTTAGGGTTTACCTGGGTAATTTTCAGCACAGTTTTATAAATAGATAGGCAAAATAGGCACGGCAGGTAGCCAACAACAACATTATTTTAGCTCATATTTATAAGTGTTGGTAATTGCTGTCATGTTTTTCATAATTTAAGATTTAAATGAGTTTTAACTTATTGCACAGAGTTAACATTTAAAACATTTGAAGACAATAAGTTAAATTCTGTATATGCTGTCGATTGTTATTCATACAGGGTATCACTAGTGAAAAGTTAAAATGTACTTGAACACATTCTGTTACATAACTTATGCGGACTGAAAGAGAAAAAGATAGAGAAACTGCTGGGGTATATTATGATTTATATTGGACAATAGCCCTCTATTGACACTCTATGTTTCACATCAGATTGAGATACCTTTAACCATGCCAAACCTTTATCATTTATTTCATATGATTCCAACAACAAAATAGAAACCATTTTGCTAAACTCTACCAAACGCTTTACTGACAGCAAGAATTTCCAATCTTTTTTATAATTTTCATACGAATTATTTTTAATGGTGTAATTTATATTACTAATTGCTGGTTGACCTGGGTTTATGACGTGCGCTACGATGTTGTTGTTGTTTTTGTTGCTATATTTGTTACTGGTTGACCTGAGTTTATGACGTGCGCTACGATGTTGTTTTTGTTGCTATATTTGGTGCTGGTTGACTTGAGTTTATGACGTGCGCTACGATGTTGTTGTTGTTTTTGTTGCTAGAATTGTTACTGGTTGACCTGAGTTTATGACGTGCGATACGATATTGTTGCTGTTTTTGTTGCTATAATTGTTACTGGTTGACCTGAGGTTATGACGTGCGCTACGATGTTGCTGTTGTTTTTGTTGCTATATTTGTTGCTGGTTGACATGAGTTTATGACGTGCGCTACGATATTGTTGCTGTTTTTGTTGCTATATTTGTTACTTGTTGACCTGAGTTTATGACGTGCGGTATGATGTTGTTGTTGTTTTTGTTGCTATATTTGTTACTGGTTTACCTGAGTTTATGACGTGCGCTACGATGTTGCTGTTGTATTTGTTGCTTTATTTGTTGCCGGTTGACCTGAGTTTATGACGTGCGCTACGATGTTGCTGTTGTATTTGTTGCTTTATTTGTTGCCGGTTGACCTGAGTTTATGACGTGCGCTACGATGTTGCTGTTGTATTTGTTGCTTTATTTGTTGCCGGTTGACCTGAGTTTATGACGTGCGCTACGGTGTTGTTGTTGTTTTTGTTGCTATAATTGTTGCTGGTTGACCTGAGTTTATGACGTGCGTTACGATGTTTTTGTTGTTTTTGTTGCTATATTTGTTGCCGGTTGACCTGAGTTTATGACGTGCGCTACGGTGTTGTTGTTGTTTTTGTTGCTATAATTGTTTCTGGTTGACCTGAGTTTATGACGTGCGCTACGCTGTTGTTTTTGTTGCTATATTTGGTGCTGGTTGACTTGAGTTTATGACGTGCGCTACGGTGTTGTTGTTGTTTTTGTTGCTATAATTGTTACTGGTTGACCTAAGTTTATGACGTGCGCTACGATATTGTTGCTGTTTGTTGCTATAATTGTTACTGGTTGACCTGAGTTTATGACGTGAGCTACGATGTTGTTGTTGTTTTTGTTGCTATTATTTTTACTGGTTGACCTGGGTTTATGACGTGCGCTACGATGTTGTTTTTGTTTTTGTTGCTATATTTGTTACTGGTTGACCTGAGTTTATGACGCGCGTTACGATGTTGTTGTTGTTTTTGTTGCTATATTTGTTAGTGGTTGACCTGAGTTTATGACGTGCGCTACGCTGTTGTTTTTGTTGCTATATTTGGTGCTGGTTGACTTGAGTTTATGACGTGCGCTACGGTGTTGTTGTTGTTTTTGTTGCTATAATTGTTTCTGGTTGACCTGAGTTTATGACGTGCGCTACGCTGTTGTTTTTGTTGCTATATTTGGTGCTGGTTGACTTGAGTTTATGACGTGCGCTACGGTGTTGTTGTTGTTTTTGTTGCTATAATTGTTTCTGGTTGACCTGAGTTTATGACGTGCGCTACGATATTGTTGCTGTTTTTGTTGCTATATTTGTTGCTGGTTGACCTGAGTTTATGACGTGCGCTACGATATTGTTGCTATTTTGGTGCTATATTTGTTACTGGTTGACCTGAGTTTATGACGTGCGTTACGATGTTGTTGTTGTTTTTGTTGCTATATTTGTTGCCGGTTGACCTGAGTTTATGACGTGCGCTACGATGTTGTTGTTGTTTTGTTGCTATATTTGTGTTTTCACATTCCTTTATATAATTAAAATAACTTGATTAATTGATTTTGCTAAAAGATGATGTTCTGTTCTTAATACCACGGACTTTATGCAGGAAAGCATAATCATATATATATATTTTTTTTACTTTAAGTACCCAAATGATAAACACACTAGAGTGAAAATTGAAAGCTTCAAACTTAAATAGGAGTTGTCTCCCTTACAATAATAATTTGGATTGCTAGAGCCGTTTTGAAAGGACGTAAAAAGTATCAAGATGCTGTATAATCTCATTTGACATATTATGTCAATTACGACGTAACAAATTATGAAATTAAAGTGACAAAAACAACATTGTAGAAACTTACCTGTATACGACACCAAATAAACAGGGATAAATCAAATAATCATTCTGAAGAGGAGAGATTTCATTTAAAATCTCAAATTAAGGGATTACTTTTTTTCAACAATTTTTTTTTTCAGTGGCTGTAATTTGCTTTTCATCATGATTTGCACAGGACTTCAACCATCGAGAGCTGATTGTGACGTCACATCAAACTATTCCCTATACGTGATGGTTTTCTTTCTTTTCACGTGCTATATGTTAAACTAAAGAGGGTGACAGGAAAAGCTCACATATGTGTGTGGTATCAGACGCATGAACAGGTAGAGCGAGAGATACGTCTGTGAACATTGGGAGAAGGGCTAACTCAACTGTAGGTGTCAAGAGGTTTACAACGAAGACTAACTCACCTGTAGGTGTCAAGAGGTTTACAACGAAGACTAACTCACCTGTAGGTGACAAGAGGTTTACAACGAAGACTTACTCACCTGTAGGTGACAAGAGGTTTACAACGAAGAGTTACTCAACTGTAGGTGACAAGAGGTTTACAACGAAGACTTACTCAACTGTAGGTGTCAAGAGGATTATAACGAAGACTTACTCAACTGTAGGTGACAAGAGGGTTTACAACGAATACTAACTCACCTGTAGGTGACAAGAGGTTTACAACGAAGACTTACTCAACTGTAGGTGTCAGGAGGATTATAACGAAGACTTACTCACCTGTAGGTGACAAGAGGGTTTACAACGAATACTAACTCACCTGTAGGTGACAAGAGGTTTACAACGAAGACTAACTCACATGTAGGTGTCAAGAGGATTACAACGAAGACTAACTCGCCTGTAGGTGACAAGAGGTTTACAACGAAGACTTACTCACCTGTAGGTGACAAGAGGTTTACAACGAAGACTAACTCAACTGTAGGTGACAAGAGGTTTACAACGAAGACTTACTCAACTGTAGGTGTCAAGAGGTTAACAACGAAGACTAACTCACCTGTAGGTGACAAGGGGTTTACAACGAAGACTAACTCATCTTAAGGTGACACAATTTACAGGGACGATTAACTCACCGGTACTGACAACAGAAAACATAAAAGTCCAATGTACCTGTAGGTGACAACAGTAATACGGAAGACTAACTCACCTGTAATTGACAACAGTAAACACAGAAGACTAACTCACCAGTAGATGACAACACTAAACAGGAAAGACTAATTTACTTGTTTGTAACAAGAGTAAAACGAAAGACGAACTCACCTGTAGATGACAACACTAAACAGGAAAGACTAGTTTACTTGTTTGTGACAACAGTAACACGGAAGACGAACTCACCTGCAGGTGACAACAGTAATTACGGAAGACTAACTCACCTGTAGGTGACAACAGTAATTACGGAAGGACTAACTTACCTTTAGGTGACAACATAAAACACGGAAGACTAACTCACCTGTAGGAGACACCAATCAACACGCTGACAATGATAAAGATAGTTAGGAAAGCAACACTTCCAACCACAGATCCCACAATGATTTTCCACTTTTGAGGTGCAATTGAATCGACATCTGAAACACAGTATAGTAAGCAGATTGTAGGACCTTTAATCCTGGGTAGGAAATCAGAACCGTTTAGCTAAGTACACTGCCACTATGTAGATGTGTAAGAAGAGTTTTACCTTGGCGGGACTGACATCTTTCTCCGGTGTACTTGAAGTGACATTGGCATCCTATACTCTGGGTAACGTCCAGTACACACCTCCCACCATTCAAACAATAATCCACCTTGTCACACCGATCTGTAGATTTAAATGAGCTGAATAACATGAACATCTCACTTTTTAGTTTGGTGTTTTCTTTCCCACACATTGACAATCACTCCCACTTTGCAAAAGGTATATACATTTTATACAGATTTGCATATGTTTCAGTAAAAATATTTCTGTAGGTGTGAGAACCTTCTTATTTTGTACTTACGTTGACACATATATCCGTCACCAAGGTAGCCGACCTTACAGGTACAACTATATCTGTTGCCAAGCACCTCACAATGGGCATGCGCCGAGCAGTTGTGGATGTCCTTGTGACACAGGGCTACAACAGTAATTCCAAGAATTATGTCTTCATATCCTCGGGTTTGACATCAATAACATTTGACATGAAAAACAAAGCTATGGGAAAAACAGATTCCTCATGGGCTGATTGACAACGTTACCAGACCAGATAGCCAAGGACCAACAAATGCATTTCACATAAAAGATTCTGTCCAAAAGGTTACTATGATTAACTGTGAGGTGTCTTGTCAAGAAAACTGAGGTTGATAAAAAAAACTTCAAATATTCAGGTTAAATTAAATTCCTTATTGCGAGAAATATTTTGTATATATAAATAATATCAGTTTAAACGTAGAATAAAATTGAAATGATTTAAGACTTAAATCACGATTTAAAATGTTTACTGTACTTTTCAAGCATTCAAATCTTTCAAATTAAGATGAAAATAAGTGATAAATTCAGATGGTTATTTAAAAAAACGTATATCTATGAAAAACCACACAGACCCTTTGACATTTGGCAATATATACAATATATATCGCCAATAATGTCTCATACTGCGTCATACAGCTGTTTCGTCTTTCAATGACTCATCGATGATGCTTTGGGCCAACAGCAAGTTAGAGGAGCACTGGTTAATTTAAAATTAATCACATTTAACGTGTCTGCATCATGAACCATGCTATTACTCAAAAGAGATAAATTTGACCTTCTAGGTTACAGCAAACCTCGGGAACTAAAACCCACCAACAGAGTCTACCACCTTGTATCGTGATAGAGGAATGTACCACAGACACACTGATGGTACCTTACAATTTGGTAATAGGTATAGCATGCCAAAAGAGAATTACACGGCATCATACAGCTGTTTTGTCCTTCTAGGACTCATCGGTGATTCTATGAAATAGTTCAAATATCAAATTACTGAAAAAGTAACTGGACTATGAAATCCATAACATATCAAGCATCCGAGACATGTTTCTGGATAAAACACCCAGGATACTTAAAACCTTCACATTAATGAGGAGCATGACAATATCATTGTAGCGTACAAAGTCACAGACCAACACTGCATCTGATATTGGTATCTATGATGAAGGTTACAACATATAACAAAGATAAACGTCCGACACATTTGATATCATCTTTAAAATTTGGTAATATATACCATTTACCAAAAAGGAACCCAAAATATACTATACAGCAGTTTCGTCCTTCAATGATGCCAATGGCAAACAGGAATAAATCACAAACAAAAGCATTTTACCAGAAACTTCGAAAAACTCTTAACTTGTTCATGAGTGTTTTTGTATGTTAATATATGCTTGTTAAACTACAGGATCATAAAATATCTTCGTGAAACTACAGGATAATGAAATATCTTCGTGAAACTACGGGATAATGAAATATCTGCGTGAAACTACAGTATAACAAAATGTCTTCGTGAAACTACAGTATAACAAAATGTCTTCGTGAAACTACAGTATAACAAAATGTCTTCGTGAAACTACAGGATAATGAAATATCTGCGTGAAACTACAGTATAACAAAATGTCTTCGTGAAACTAAAGTATAACAAAATGTCTTCGTGAAACTACAGGATAGTGAAATGTCTTCGAGGAACTACAGGTTAATAAAATATCTTCGTGAAACTACAGGATAACAACGAAAAGAATGACTGATGATTGTTCGGCAGTAAATCGTGGAGAGGATCAATGTTTCATTTAACATTACAATTCCCTGACCATTCTCTTCCGTGTATCACCATTCCAATCACTCTAACGTAGTATTCCGTACCGTAGGGAACGAAAGGAACATTGAATTAAACGTTTTAGCACTGTTGTGACATAAAGCCAGAATGACCTATATATTCCGTAGGCAATATTTCACGCCTAGGAAGTGGTCATACAATTGTACGAACTTTGTGATTCCTCAGGGCGTAGTCATGGACATTGGCTCAACAGCATCCCAGTCGAATACACTGTGATGTTTATAGACTTTATGGGAGCCCTATCCAACATATTCAAACTTGATTCTTTCTCTCCTCATTATAATGATTTCTTTAATGATTTATTGCCTAAGATAGGTAAACAGCAATACAAATATATGGCTATGAATTACTTGGAGCATATTTTGTGAACGATACGACAAAGACCACTATGGACTATATTTGATGATTGCAATCCAGGTTGACAATATATTGTTTCGTTCGGTGTACAAATTGTCTAGTAGACTTTAATATTCTCATTGGGATACATTGGCCGACTTAATGTTGTTTTCAAATGAAGAGCAACAAAATCCAAAAGTTTCTAACAAAATGATTCTCTTTATGTTTTTAACACATATAATAAAGACGTAAGAGTTGAGGACTTTTAGACTAAATCTACTTGTACAGTGTTTTACGGTAAAATAAGTAAAAAGTGAAAATATCTATTTCCTTATCCGATAACTATCACGAGTATGCTTACATAGGCAGTGGTGTTTGGACACAGTCCCGCCTGTCCTGGTACTTGTTCCCTGCCCACACTGCGTGCACTGTCTCTGATACAGCTCTCCCTGGTACGTCCCCTGCTCACACATTTTACACCTGTTACTCGCATCGGAATAGTATTGTCCACGTGTGCAGTTGGCTGCAGAATGTAATAATACGAAAATAAAAGAAGGAAATAGCAATTTCGAAGTAATGATTGATTTGAAAAAAGTCTATTTTTGCTGACCGAGTTGTATGAATACTTACGTAGACACTGGTCAATGTTTGTTGCTGCACTGGAGAGAGTTGTCCAGCCCAGGGGGCAGTTCTCACACAATTGAGAATCCTGTTCATCTCTGTAGGTACCGACAGGACAAGGTACACACGTGTTATTATCTTCCTCGTACCCCGAATCACAGGCCACTAGAAACAGTGTACTCCCATTAGTACCAGAGGTAATATCATTCTCTGCTACACTAAAGAGTACTGGGGATCAATAAGGATTCGGGCAATCACAGCATATTAAAGACTTTCCAATTGCACATTGTCCTAAATTGTGTAGTTCTTGCTGTTTAGTATATTTGCTCAGATGACATCAACATATAATGTTCACTTTCTGTTTTGTGATACCATACATTTTGAAAGTTAGTGCATAATTATTTGATAGATTTCAAATCATTCCATATAAAACTGCTTTAATATTGTAGTTATTAGTTTTTTGTTTTGTTTTGCGTATTAATTAACGTTGTATCGGTTAACATCTTTTGTTTTGAGCACATTTACTTACACTGTTTCAGTTAACAACGTGTGTCTTATACACACTAACTTACGCTGACACTGGTGGCTTGAGACTGCTCCTTCTGTAAAGGTTGTATAGTTTTCAGGGCACATTTCACACATGTCACGCCATTTCTGGTCCTGGTACTGGCCCCGGGGACACGGTCGGCACCTGTTCTCTCCAGGGTCACGGTACTCGCCTGGCACAGTACAGTTTGCTTGATAAATAAAAAGTATAAGAATGTGTCAGATAGACCCAAGAACAACATTCATGTATACGTGTCGCTTTGTAACAGAGGAGGGTACATTCAATGGGGCTAACCCACAGTACTTGTAACAAAATCTGGTCACATGCATCACTAGAACGGGAGGGAAAACTGACATATTGTCAGACCCAAATTAAAGTCTGGAGCTGTTAATTCTCTTATCTTATGCTTTTATTATCTGAGTTACTTTGTCACTGTTACAGTCAGCCGGCCTGGTCCCACAACACTTATACCTACACATACACAACACTTATACCTACACATACACACATACAGAGGAACAAGAACGGCCTGGTCCCACAACACTTATACCTACACATACAGAGGAACAAGAACGGCCCGGTCCCACAACACTTATACCTACACATACACAACACTTATACCTACACATACAGGGGAACAAGAACGGCCTGGTCCCACAACACTTATACCTACACATACACAACACTTATACCTACACATACAGAGGAACAAGAAACTCTTTTGTGATAAATGTTACAATCAGGATTGCAAGACAAACGTAGAAAAAAATGCCACAGCAACAACGCCCAAATGTTGATTAAGGTGGGTTTAGAACATAAAAGGAACTAGTATTAGTGTCGACCCTTTCTTCGGTGTAATTTATTCAGGTATAAATCGGACATATATTTTTATTACACGTTAAATGACAATTTGTTATCACTATTGTCAATGTTTAGGTTCATTTTTGTTAATGGCTGAAGCATTAATTAATGTTTCATTTTTCATGTGCAGTACACATATACCATATTATGTATTTCACTTATATTACATATTACATACTGATGCATTCTAACCTATTCTAAAGGGAAAATGATACAGGCCTAGTCTGTTGTTAAATCCTATTAATAAACTATCCTGAATTTAATTTGTTTAAATGAAATGCTTTTGGTGACTCTATTGTGAGTATACTGAGTGACTGAATCGCAATATAACACACATTTTAAATATGGATTTGTTTCCAGTCATTTAAAGTTTACAACAAAAAATATTATGTGTAAATAAGGCATCTTTGATATCAGCCTTCTATTTTAAAAAGGTATAATTTGTATAAAAGGTGTTTTCTTATTTATTTCCAAATTATGTATTTGTATTGGTAGAGCATTGTTTTATTATTAAGAAATAGCAGATATTCATTTGCATCTCAAAGATAATGATATATTTTTCTGAACGCGGAATTAAGGTTATGCCATGTTTTTTTCATCTTTGTACTGATTTCGGAATCAGATTCCCTTGGAAATGGGTAAAAAGAGTTTACGGTTTGCTTTTATGATCTGTTTGGTTTAACACTTTGGGGGTTTATAGTGTATACATTGGGATAGCTTACTTTAACATTAAGCGGCAGTTTGAAAAATAAACAAGGTCTTCTCTGCCTAAGTGAAGTAACACAGTACTTGTATTATTTGCACGTATCTGTTTATGACGTAAACTTTGGCTATATATTGACCCCTTCATTTGTTGGTTTCTAAATAAGTAATATAATAGTATATATATGTTATAGATGATGTCAT